CCAGTTCGAACAAAGAATAGAAACCTTACCTCCCTTTCCATCCTTTACCCCCACCCCCATTTAAAAGATAATCATTTTATTTATTTATTTTTATTTATTTATTTTTTAAAAGATTTTATCTATTTACTTGACAGAGAGAGACACAGCAAGAGAGGGAACACAAGCAGGGGGAGTGGGAGAAGGAGAAGCAGGCTTCCCGCAGAGCAGGGAGCCCGATGCGGGGCTCGATCCCAGGACCCTGGGATCATGACCTGAGCTGAAGGCAGACGCTTAACGACTGAGCCACCCAGGTGCCCCGAAAAGATAATCATTTTAAATATTTCTTCTACATATATTTAGAAACACATTAGATTATGATTTTTTTTAAAGATTTTATTTATTTGAGAGAGAGAGAGGAGGAGAACATAGGAGAGGGAGAAGCAGACTCCCCGCTGAGCAGGGAGCTCGATGTGGGGCTCGATCCCAGGACCCTGGGATCATGACCTGAGCCGAAGGCAGACGCTTAATCAGCTGAGCCACCCAGGTGCCCGTGTTATGATTTTTGCTTCAACTATGAAACACATTAGAAAGCTGAAGAGAAGGAAAGTCTATTGGGTTTACCCATATTTTTGTTTAATGTTTGTTCGTCCTTTCTGACGTTCCAAAGCTCCTTCTTATATCATTTCCTTTCTGTTGAAAAGCGTTTTGTTGTTGTTGTTTTGTTTTGTTTTTTTAATCATTCTTTTAATGTAGGCCTGCTGGCAGGTAAGTCCCTTCTTTTCTTTCATCCGAGGCTGTCTTGATTCTCTTCATTCCGGAAGGATATTTTTGCAGGCTGTAGGATCTTGCTCGTTTTTTCTTTCAACACCTGAGAAATATGCTACTTCCTTCTGGCCTCCACAACTCTGCAGAGAAATGCCCTGTCATTCACATTACTTGTCCCCTGTAGACAAGGTAAAGTTCTTCTCTTGCTGGGCTCAGAAATTGTCTTTCATTTTCAGAAATTTAACTGTGATGTACCTTGGATATGATGTGTCATGGATTTCTTTTGGTTTATCTGGTTTGGGGCATGCTCAGCTTCTTGAGTGTGTACGTTGATGTCTCTTGCCAAGTTTGGGAAGTTCTCAGCCATTATTTCCTTGGGTACTTTTTCAGCCCTACTCTCCCTCCTTCTGGGACTCTGCTGACACAAATGTTCAATCTTACGTTAGAGTTCTGGGTCCCTGAGACTCTACTCATTTTCTTTCCAGTCTGTTTTCTCTTTCTGTCAAGATTGGGTCATCTCCATTGTTCTGTCTTCCAGGGGGTGGATTCTCTCTTTCCCTTCTATTCTGCTGTGCAGTCATCCACTGAGATTTCAGTTTGGGTTATTGTATTTTTCAGGAGCACCTCGTTACTGCTGGGCAACAGTGAGTTTCTACTAGGCCTCCTCTGATACCCGTCAGTGGGTGTGTGGGCCACCCTGTTAGCCTGGTGAGCGTGGAAGGCGAGGCCTCTGCTGGCCTCAGGGACGTGGGGCACAACTGTTTTCCTGTTGTGTTTGGATAGAGTAAAGCAGTTAGTGTCTCCACAGCTCTGTCCTGCCAGGCTGCCTCTCTTCTAGTCCTTTGGCTAGGGAGAGCAGACTGTTGTTTGGGCTTTGCGCCATCGGTGTCTCGGTTGGGGCTTTTATTTGTACCGAGCAAGAAGAATAGGGGACAGTATGTCTACTTGATCTTCCTGGAAGCAGAAGTTCCAGTTTACTTTTTTTTTTGTTAAAGATTTTGTTTATTTGAGAGAGAGAGAGAGAGAGCGTGCGCACAAGCGGTGGGGGGAGGGGCAGGCAGAGGGAGAAGCAGGCTCCCCGCCGAGCAGGGAGCCCCATGCGGGACTCGATCCCAGGACCCCGGGATCATGACCTGAGCCAAAGGCAGACGCTTCACTGACTGAGCCACCCAGGCACCCTCCAGTTTACTTTTGATAGCTATTGTCAAGTTTTGTCCTTTGTTACATGTGATACAGATATTGTTTTCAATTGTTCTTTTTTTATTTTTAATTTTTAAAACATTTTAAAAGATTTTATTTATTTGACAGAGAGAGCGCGAGCAGGGGGAGTGGGAAAGGGGGAAGCAGACTTCCTGCTGAGCAGGGAGCCCAATGTGGGGCTCGATCCCAGGACCCCGGGATCATGACCTGAGCCGAAGGCAGACGCTTAACGACTGAGCCACCCAGGCGCCCCTAATTGTTCTTTTTTTAACTGGTGCTTTTGGCTTTGCAGAAATGTTTGATTTTTATATAGTTGAATATGTTCATCTTTTAAAAAATGGATTCAGAGTTTTGTAGCATGCTTGGAAAGAACTTTCTCGTACCAAGATTGCGGGGGGGGGGAAGTCTCCCTATTTTCTTCTAGCTTTGTTGGGATTTTATTTTATTTTTTCTGCATTTAAGTATGAGAGCCGTCTGGTATTTATTTTGCTGTATGCAGGCAGAGGAGTCCCCGTACTGTCCCCAACCTCCGTGGCTATGCTCTTGTCTCAGGCCCATTTACTGGATAACAAATATTTTGTGGTGTTAGGGGAACTCTTTTATTTGATAAAGGCTTGTTTAATGTTCCTAATGGCTGAGGCCTGAAAGATGAGCCCCAGAGTTGTAGACGCTGCCCTGAGCGGTGGCTTGTTCCCACCTCTGTGCTCCTTGGGTGTTAGCTGAGGACCGGTAACCACACAGTTTGAACTGCGTAACATTCTGGAAGGTCCGCCTGTCCCGACGCGCTGGGAGTCGGGTGGGACCTGCACACACTGTAGGTGGAGGAAGCCAGAGGTGGCCAGGGCTAAGAGTGCGTTTTGAGCTGCCGTGGAAGGTGCTCCAGTTGGCACGGTTCGGCTTCCTCAGTCGCCCGGTCACCGCCGGAAGGGAGACCCGCCTCAGCCTACGGAGGAACGGGCCGCAGTGTCTGTGAGGCGGAGCCGCTGAGGACGTGGGCGCTGCCTGGGGGAGAGAGGAGTGCCCGGAGCAGCCCGTGAGGGTCTACCTCGCCCTCCAAGCTGAGACGAGAGCAGAAAGCCGTGGCCGGGCTCCTGGCGGCTGCCAGCCTGCTGGTCCTGAGGGGACGTGCGCGGGGAGCACGCTCCAGCCGGAGTCGCAGGGAACGGGGCAGAGGCGGGACGCGGCAGGCAGACGCGCTCCCGCCGAGGGGGCCCCATCCATTCCTTTGTCGAAGCGGCCCCAGCCCCCACCCGCGCCGGCCGGCCGTTCCCACCGGGCCAGGCGCAGCACTGCCGGGGGCTCGGAGCGGCAGGCCCCCAGGGCACCGTCAGCACCGGGTCTGCGCAGCCCGAGTCACGGCAGTAAGGCTTCTCAGTGAGGCCAAAGGGGACCCTGACGGAGGGCTGTGTCGTGGTGCCCTGTTCCAGAGCCACAGTGACACGAATTATGGCCAGACCTCCTCCTCCTGGCTGTAAGGTTTCTTCTGCCCAGAAGAGTGCCAAGGCCAGAGTGTGCAGGGGTGTGAGGAGGACCAGCCCCCTAGTCTGGAAAGTGAGGCCCTCCACGACTGGACCTCACTCTCTTTACCCAGGGGCCGTGCACTGGCCTAAGAAGCCCTAACTGGGAGTGAGAAGCTGGGATCCGGTCTCTTAGCTGGGGCTGGCTAGGAAAAACCTTTTCCCGCTCTGGGCCATGTTTTCTTCATAAACACAGCTGGGGATTGGACTAAACCAGTGATTTTGACTTTTTTTTTTTTTTAAGATTTTATTTACTTGACTGAGAGAGAGCACAAGCAGGGGGAGCGGCAGGCCGAGGGAGAGGGAGAAGCAGGCCCCCCGCTGAGCAGGGAGCCCGATGCGGGGCTCGATCCCAGGACCCCGGGATCCTGACCTGAGCCGAAGGCAGACGATTAACCGACTCAGCCACCCAGGTACCCTAGTGATTTTCACTATTAAAGCCCTTGACAAACGGAATATTTCACAGAAACTCATAAGTGTTCAGTGCCGGGGCGCCTGGGTGGCTCAGTTGGTTAAGTGTCCTTTTCTCGATTTTGGCTCAGGTCATGATCTCAGGGTCATGGGATGGAGCTCCAAGCCCTCCATCTGGCTCTGCGCTCAGCGTGGAGTCTGCTCGAGATTCTCTCTCCCTCTCTGCCCCTCCCCCCCATATTCTCTCTCTCTCTTCTCTCTCTCTCTCTCTCTAAGTCTTTCTAAGTGTTCAGCGCTAGGCAGCTTGGGTGGAGGCAGGCATGGGACCAGGGCCTCTGAGGAGGCTGGAAGCCACTGGAGGGCAGTTTCTCAGATCCTCTCCGGCTGGCCCTGGGAAGGTGTGGTAACCTTTCTGAGCCTTGGCTGCTTTTTCTATAGAGACCATACCCGGAAAGCTGTCAGAGCAAACTCAAGATGGGTGCCTGGAGAGCTGCTAGCAGGGTTTGGAGCCCAGATGCCGTCAGTGAAGGGGCTAGTAGTACCGTTCGTGCCTTTCCAAGCCCTCCCCTTTCGATACCAGCCCAGGCACCAGCCCCTCCTTCCCTGTCCCCCCTCAGCTCCAGGAGCACCGGGTGCCTTTGGATGCTCACGGCACCGCCCGGTGTGGCCTCAGTGTGGCTTTGAGTCAGTAGCTAGTTGTGCGTGTCTCAGACGTAATCTCCACAATCAAAGGAAGTTCCTTGAGGGGGACACTCTTCTTTCACAGCTCTCGATCCTCCAACACTGTCTTGTACAGACATTCGGATAAATGTCTGTGGGTCAAGCCCAGACAAGGATGCAGAGGACCCATAGCCAGCATGTGGCCCCTGCTTGGGATTCAGAGGAGATGTTCTAAGGAGGGGAAGCTGAAGCACAGAGGCCTTGCAACTAAACGGGGTGAACGGATGGCCCATTGCTGGCAGCTTCCCGCTGGAAGCGCGCCAGAGCGGCATCCCCACACTCATCCCTGACAGTGCGGGACCTGCGTCAGCGACCCGGAGCCAGCTGACAGCCTATAGCCCGGGCTTGCACTGCTGCCAGAGAACCATCAAGAAGCTTTCCAATTCAAAAACTCCCAAAAAGGAAGGCTGGTTTCATGTTGCTTCTCATTTATTAATTCCGTCTGTTCTAGGTTGTACAGTTATGAAAATAACCAAACCGAAGCTGGAAGCCCAGGAATATTTACACTCTCTCTCGTGTCGTGAGGTCAGTCTACATTGTTGCGCAGATTCGTTATGTTTGGTACCACAAGATGTTTGTAATTCGGACAAAATCGGACAGATTAACAATTATATGTACAGTAAAATAAAAGGGGAATTCATTCAAGTATCAAAATACAGAGACAAAGATTAAATAACATTTTTATTACAATTCAGTCCCGTTGCCACCCCGTTAGCAACAACACTTTTGCGAGCTGCTTCTGACGGTCATGCCGCAGGCCTGGGCCTCTCGCAGGCGGACCGAGGATAGACGCGCTTTCTACTGTCAGAGCGGCGGCCACCACCATGGCTGCCTGCTCGGCCAGAGGCTTCTCGAGGAACGGCCGCCAGAATCTGAGGCTAGAGACCCAGGAGGCATGTGGAGCATGGCAGACGCGGAGCCTGACAGGAGGGGTTCTATGGCTCAGAGCGGCGAGCAGAGAAGCTGGGGGCTGGGGCCGGGGAAGGTACTGACTCCCTCGCAGGTCCTGCCTAGTCCCCCTCCCCCCCCCCCCCGCCCCCGGCACAGCTCAGACCCCGCCGTGGAACTCTGGTGCAGAAGCGGGGGCTTTTCTGCTCGAAGCCTGTCCTTGAAGTTACACCGCCCCTTTCGAGGGGAGAGAGAGTACCTGCCCCGGAGGAGAAGTAAAAAGGAAAGAAAGATCCAGTCCCTACCCTTCTCAACTATTCGGAAATAAACCAATCTCAAAAGCAAACCCAGAGCCAGAGAGGACTAGCTAAGGCTTTCCAATATGACAACACCCTGAATAAATAAAGATATAGCAGCTTCAAGGGGAGGAAACACCTACGTGTGATTTAAAAACAAAAAGACGGCTCGAACAGCTCATAGTAGTGTCTACAGTTTGCTTTTTGGACCTGCCGCCTCCGGAGAGGAGAGGCGCACTTAAGCTGAGGCCAGGCCCCCGCAGAGGAAGGGAGGGCGCCCACCCCTCGGGTTCCCTGGTCAATTCTCGCGGGCCAGCGGGTTGGTGGTGGTGGTCTGGGTGGGGGGGGGGGACAGAACATGCGTGGCGGGAGCTGACAGGAGGCTCCTGGGCCTTGGGAGAAGCAGGAAGCGAAGCCAGACTTCAGGCGTTGAGGTCCTTGTTTAGTACCGGAAAGTGGAGGCTTCCCTGCCCCTGCTCCAGAGGAGGTGCTGCCCCTGGGGCCCAGCTTTGAGGCAGCGGGAGGACGGGGCCGGGCTTTCTGTTCCTGGCCACCACTGGGGTGGTGAGTGTGCCCAAGAGCACTCTCTGTGCATGGAACCCGCAGGGAATTCCAATTCACAGCCCTTGCTGGGAAAGAAGTCCCGCCAAAGCCTGGCCTGTGGGTCCCGGGGGAAGCCCGGCCCGTGCCGGCAACGCATGAGGTCTGCTGAATTGCCCATGGGAGGAAGGGCTCCTCTCTGCTCCCTACTCTGGAAGATACGGGGCCAGCACCACAGCCGGCTCTGCCTCTCGGCCTCACAGGAATTACCCTGTCTGCTTCTACCACCCTCAGGAGCACAGAGCAAGAGTCCAAGTTAACAAGCAAAGCAAGCCAGCAGGAGCCCTTAAGTGGCAGTGGTGCGCCAGGACCCCAGTCGGCCCTGAAGGCCACACTGGGGGAGAACTGAATCAACCGTCACCTTATTTAGCCTTCTCTACACCTGGAGCCAGGGATGAATCCAGCAGCTGAAAATACAACAGTCAAACCAATAATTCAGAGAATCAAAGCGAGTCCTAATCACACAGACCTGATTAGACAAATCACAAATTGGCAGGTAGCCATCTTAGCCGACCTACCCATTAATGCCCGAAACAAAGCTGCTTTTTCTTCTTTCTGACTGAACCCAGGCAGTCTGAGGTTGCCAGAGAGTGCGTGGCCTGGCGCCCTGACCACCGCCGGCTCGGGCGCCGAGGAGCGGCCCCGACTTCATGGCTCTGGACACAGCTCGCTCGGCTCCATCTGGCCCCTGGACCTTCACATTTGGAACCCCAGACACGGACCGGGAGTCTCTGCTTTTGCCAGGTGCGTCTGAGGCCTGTTCTTACTGCAGAGGCAGCGTCCGGCTCCGGATGGGGACAAGAAGTTGTGCAGTTCGTAAGGAACAGCAACTGACTTGGTTGGGTTTGAAAGGCAGACTCGAACAAACCCACCTGGGCCTGCTTTCCGTTCACCCCCAGGCCACTGCCCCCCCGCCCCCCAGCCTCCCGGACCGCGCCAACGGCCCATCCCGGGGGGGGCAGAAGGCGGCGCCGGCCGGCCTCGGAGCCGCTCTGGGGCGCCCCTGTCCTCCGACCCCATGGCCATCTGTCTGAAGATTGGCAGTTTAACCTAGAGATTTGAGCCGAGTCTTAAAAATTCGTTTTCTAAAAAAAAAATTTTTTTTCTATTAAAAAATGTCTTCTGAACAAGTCACTTCTTGACTCTCTGGAGTTCCAGTCTCATCCGCTCGAGGCCTGGACTGCGCCTTGCTCTGTAAGACCTGGTGGCGGCAGGACCAGGCCAAGGAGCCCCGTGGAGCTGCTCCCGGCAGAGGCCGGGCCTGGGTCTTCGAAGCTGCAGGTGACACAGTGGTGGCGGCGGCGGCGGCGGTGGTGGGGGCCGCGGCGGTGGGAGCCTGTGCTCCCCACGTCTGTGTTTCCGCAGCACAGTTGGTTCCTCAGTGGCTCAGCTTGGCAGAAGCAAACACAATGGGGGGAGGAAAGGGTTAACCACAGGGGCCTGCACAGAGTGGAGGAAACTGAAAGGAAGCATGGAAGTGAAGGAAGGTCCCTCACAGCCTCCCCTGAGCGCCCGTGGCTCGGGAAGGCACCAGGACAGGCAGGCGGGCAGGGCCGCCCAGCCCGCTTTATCACCTTGGCCTCCGCCTCTCCAGGAACCGCCGCGAGCTCCTGGCTTCTCTAGGCTTCTCTAGGCTTCTCTACCGGCCTACGCTGTGCTGGCGGCGCGCTTTCCTGTCTCCCGCCACCTGAGCTGACCGGCCCTCCCTGGAGACCGGAGACCAGGGGGCTTCTTCAAAGCCTCCGCTCCACGATCCACAGCCTCCCCTCTCAGGGCACGCTGGAGGCTGAGCGGGGCTGACTATCTCTGACCCCCACACTGCAGAGCAGTGACGGCAAGTCCTGGGAGGACAAGGGGAGTTGCTTGGTCCGGGTCCCTGTCCTCGAGCGGCTGGGTTCTGTGAGGGAAGAAGATGCAGCGTGTGTGCAGGGCCCAGGCCTCCCTCTCGCTGGGTCCCACAGAAAGGCCTTCCTCCTCAGTGAGCTAGACTCCACAGCCAGCCTTGCGAGCCCCTGGTGAAGACAGGAGGGGCCGACCACACACACACACACACACACACCACCCCACCCCATTCTTCGGGAGCGCAAGACTCCGCAGGACCAAGACACCTGCTGAGGGAAGCCAGCCCACGGGGGTTCAGATGCTCAGGGCGCCATGCTGCGGAGTCAGGCCTGTGCGCCGGGCCCCCGGGCCCTCCCGGAACGCAGTCTGGCCCCAGGCGAGCCACGGCGCGGAGCTCGGGCTCTCACAGGAGGGAGGCCGGCGCCTGGCGGCAGAGGAGGGACGGATGGGGCCGCAGGCCGGCCGGGCGCGGGCTGCAAGGGGATTCTGGCACCACGTGCTCACAGTGGTTGGTTGTGTCAGGAAAGGTGCAAAAAGACGGTTCGCTCTAGGCGGCGGCGCCCGGCTGCGGCTCGGCATAGAAGACGGGAGGAGAGCAGAGCCCGGCCTAGTCAGCGGGGTGCTCACTGGTGGACTCTGCTCGAAGACTGCGCCCCGCCCCTGCCCCCAGGATTCACAGTGCCTGCCCGCTGAGGCTTCCTGGTGCCCACCTCAAAGGCGACTCACCACCCTCCCCCGCCAAGCTGTCCTCGCCCGAGGCGGGGACTTCACAGTGTCCGGTGGTGTTGGGTACAAGCTGTGCGTGTGGTGTCTAGAGCTGCTGCCGGGCTGGGGGGGGGGAGCAGGGCCCCCCCCGGGGCCGGGGCCTTGGCGTCAGCAGCCGGAAGGAGAGCTGAGAAGAGCTGAGGTCGGATGGCAAGGCACAGTGAGACTAGTGGAGACAGGGAGTGAGCGGTTAGAAGATAGTGGTCTCATACTTGGTGCTGAGGCTCCGCTTAGAGTCTGGTTTAGGGTCCACCACCCAGGAGACGCTGGCGTGGGACTGGGCATCTGGGTCTGTATCGGGCGGGTCCAGCTGTCAAGGAAGAAGGGTGAGGGGTCAGAGAGGGAGCGCTGCAGCCGGCTGGGGGGCAACAGGGCCCAGCTGTCCCTTCTTCCTGCCCAGGGCCGTGCTGGCATCGTGCCAGCATGAGGGACATGAGCGGCGGCCCTTGTTCTCCTCAGAGAGCAAGCCCCCTAGGGCTGGGGTGGCAGGAGTGGCGCCCTCCCCAGAGCATCGTGGGAGGGCCACCTCCAGGCCTCTTCAGGGGCGACTTCTCCCAGGGGTTTCTCAGAGCTGCTCAGGGAAAGGAGCCTTGCCTGACCCGAGCGTCGTGCTCTGAACCCCAAACCTGTTCATGGCGGCAGGAAGGGGGTGCGGGGCTGGGAAACCCCAAGCCTCGGGTCCCTCAGGCGGGGCCTGAGAGCACATCCCAGGCCTCGGCAGAGAGGACACACAGAGAAACAAAGAGCTAAAGCACAGAGAGGGATGGCAGGAGGGCGGCTCAGGAAAGAATGTCACGCAGGCGGGGGGGTGAGGGGAGGCCACTAGCATCTCAGAAAGCTCACGGTCACTTCGGGGAGACTGACACACAGACAGCAGGAGGTGTAAAGACCTTGACTCCAGGACTAACAGACGGCAGCGGTAGGTAAGAAGGACGATGGGTGGTGCAGGTGTGACAGTGACAACAGCGACTATCGGGGGGCGGCGGCACCTGGGGCGCAGAGCAAAGCAGACACAGACACGGGGTGGTGTTACAGGGGGCTCGCTGCGGGCCAGCCCCGGGGGCGCCTGGCGAGGGAGGGGGCCACAGCTTGCGGCTGGGGCGGGGGGCAGGAGAGGAGCTGGCGGCCGGTTCCGAGGGGCCAGCTGCCTGTGGCTGAGGAGGCCCTCCGGCTGCCCGCTCCACCCCACGCCCTTGAGGCCCGGCGGGTTCACGTACTGCTGACTTCCTCGTGCCGACCCGAGGCTTAGGCACCGGTTTGGAAGATTTCGTTTCGATCATCTCGGCGGCGGAGGCCCCCAGGGGCCGGGACTTTTGGGCCTGCAGGGCCAGCTGATAGGCCACCTCGAACGCCTGCCCCAGCGTCAGGATGATCTCATAGGTCAGATTCTGGGAGGAGACAGAGCACGACTTCAGCACTGAGACCGAGGAGCCACCTCACCCCTTGGCTCGAAACCGCCCCCCCACCAGGCCTCACAGCCCTGAGCACAGGTAGGGGTGGGGCACCGGGACGGCTAACGAGAGAAATTCGGCCAATTCTGCCAGAACACTTGTTTTCCAAACACTGCTTTGTCCCAAGGTGACTGAGACGTCAGGAACAATCTGAGTGTCACACACATTTTGTTTCCCCAGCACAGTGTCGTGGACAGAAACACCAGGGGACCTGGTAGCTTGGCTTCCCTGGGGCCGACGGCCTAGCCCCCACACCCTCCCCGCGGTACTGTTCCTCTCCCAGCCTTCTGTGTTCCCCTTCCCGCACCTTCTACAAGTCCGCTCCAGGTCTCTCTCAAGGGAGAGGGCCGGGCTGACCGCCGCAGCTCTGGATTTCTTAACCATTTCATGGGAACAGAGTGGCGCCAGTGTGTTTGTTAGGTTCCTATCTTTTCTAATGTGTCACTGACCCAAGTTTCTGAGTGTGGTGCCCCAAGTCCCATCCCCCCACAAACCCTGCTTTTTACTGCATCATTTTATGTAGTATGTTGATCTTTGGGAGTGTTGTGTTGTGTTACTGCAGAAGTGACTGTGGAAAATGGGAGCTCTGGGTCAAAGTGCCAGGAACTCCGAGTATGGGGTAGATGACCCCATTTAACCTTCAAAACAAACCCCACACAGCTGCTCCCGTTGTAGTCTCTCTTCAGCGGGGGAGGAGCCAGGGCGAGTGACTTCCTAAGACCACACAGCTAGCAAGTGGCAGACCCAGGAGTATGACGCCAGGCCCAGAGCAAGCACGGATTTCCTGGGGCTGAGAACGCCTGGCCGTCCATGTTCCAGAAGCCCCAGAGACTGGGGAAGTAGCTACTCTCCCCCAGGACAGCAGGGATCTGGACAGAAGCCTGGGGGTGAGGAGAGGGCCCCAGCCTTGTCTCAGGGCAGGGGGCGTCCCTGCTGCACCGCTGTCCCTGTGGGCGCAGCCGGAGCCTGAACGTGGGAGAAGGCAGCCTCCTGTCAGGAGGGCACTGCTGCCCCCCAGAGCAAGGTAGAGAGCATTTCAGGGAGACGGCCCCTGGAGGGTGGGGAACGGGGTGGTGGGTTGACAAGCAGCCTGGGGGAGGGAAGCCCTGGCTAGAAGAGCGGCCAAAGCTGCCCGTTCTCTGTGCTTCAGTCTCATCACTGTCTACCGGGGACTGGCCTGGGGGCACCTGGGTGGCTCAGTCGTTAAGCGTCTGCCTTCGGCTTCAGGTCATGATCCCAGGGTCCTGGGATTAAGCCCCGCATCGGGGAGTCAGCTTCTCCCTCTCCCCCTGCTTGTGCGCGTGCTCTCTCTCTCTCTAATAAATAAAAAAAAAAAAAATGGGGGGGACTGGCCCCGACGGCTGCTGGGGCCTCAGCCTGAACCAGACATGAGCCAGGTGCCGCCCACGTGCCGGGACAGCACAGCACTGAGGTTGCCCGCCCGCGGCCCCCTCCAGCGGCGCCCAGCTGCAGGGCCCCACCCACCACATCCACCGTGCTGAACACATGGCAATAGTGGTGGCTGGTCTGCAGGTCCTTGGTGATGTAGGCAAAGGTGCAGAGGTCCTCTGGGTCCTGGGCCGCACATGAAATGTTCCGGATTTCGTGCTCTGCAATGACGTTCTGCCAGGGAAAGCAGGGTCTGGAATTCTCGGCCTCAAGGCAGCCTCAGCCCATTTACACCACCACCGCCACCCTTCTTTGTCCCAGCCCAGGCTGTTAGCCCACAGCCGCTACTTCTCTTGTTTGTCTGGTGGGCGTGGGGGCAGTGTCTAACCTTGCCAAGGTGGGTTTAGGGGTCTCCACCCTCCACCACAGCAATGGAGGGCGTCAAATGTTCACATCTGACCACGAGCTCTCCAGCCCCTCTGCCCTCTGGGGGAAGTGGGGGGGAGTACCAAGTGTGGGGTGTGGGGGGCGTCCTTTGCTCTGGAACAGAATCACAGCACTAAGGGCCCGGGGGTCAGGACGCGCGGCAGCTGAGAGGCAAGCGCCTGGCCGAGGGGCAGGAACACAGGGGAATAAAGAGGGCTGGGGGCGCTGTAGGCAGCTCGGGGGGGGGGGGGGGGGGGGGGGGGGAGAGGGGCCCACTCCAGCTACCAGAGTTGTGAGAAGCACACCTTGTTGGAGGCATCGATGAACTTGACACCTTTGTACGTGATGGACAGGATGATAGTGGGGATCTTCTTCATGTGCTCGGTGGATTTCTAGGGGAAACGACGTGGGACTGTGAATGCCCCTTCTCAAGGCCAAGCCCCTGGGATCCCACAGGCCCCAGCCTCCACCTGACCTTACACGGTGTGCGAGGGCCCAGGGGCTGCAGCCGGTGCCCCTGGGGATGCCTCCCATCCCCGCCAGCCGCCCCCCCTGCCGACAACCTACCCGCATCTTGGCACAGGCGTCCTGTGTGGATTCTGTCCCTCGAAGATCTTTGATCAACATGGAGCCCAGATACTGAGGGAGCAGGCAGTAAGCGGGTTTAGGACGTCCTGCGCTACCATGCGGGGCGACCCAACCGATTTGGGACCATAATCAGATGGTTTCCTCTCCTCACTCCCTTCCCCGATCCTGGCTGGGAGGCCCCCCTGCCCCCTCGGGAGTGGCCGGCAGTGGGGGCGGGGGGAGGGGGAAGGCAGCAGGGAGGCCGGCCAGGAGCGCAGGGGCAACTCACGTTGGCTTCGTAACCGCAGGACTCGAAGATGAGCTTCTCTGGCTGGTGTTGCCAGCTCTGCACCGGGGCATAGGGAGCAGCCAGGCTGGGGGGCCGGAGGGTCAGTCTGGCTTCGCGCTGCTCTTCCTGTAGAACACGTGGGGTCACAGGTCTGCTTGCCCACTCCAGAGGAACTCGTGGGCTCCAGCACACCCAAGGGCAAAGAAGCCAGCCACAGGGGTTCAAGGGCAGGAGACAAAAAGCCAAGCAGGTGCCCTGTGGCAGAGGTGATGCCTATCCATGCCAGAGGGAAGGTGGGGAGGCAGGGGTCTAGGCCACCTGAGGGCAGGCGTAGTCGGGAAGGCTCTGAGGTGGAGACAGGAAATGAATAAAACCAGAGAGGGGAAAACAAGCTCAAAGCATGAAGGGTGGGGAGCGGGAGTCAGATCCTTGCAAGTCTCATATCCAAGTCAGGGCCCCTGGATCTGATTCTAGGGCGGGCAGGTATCGGTGCTCGGGAGGCCTTTTATAGTGTTCCCTGAGGCGCCAGCTGAGGTGGGGGAAGGGGGGCAGGAGGCCACTGAAATCCAGGTGCCAGGTGATGGGGGCCTTCACTAGGGCACTGGTCGAAAGAATGGGGAGGCGAGAAAAGAGTCAGGAAATATTTATGACTTCCGTCCCCAGCACCGTGCGGAAGCCTTCTGATACGGAGCAACTAAAACGGCTGGACAACATGCTTTGAAATCTTGTCAGATTCACGGCTGTGCCCGTGGAAACGTGAAGGACATCCCCAGGTGCTGGAGATGAGGAGTTTGAGTCGAGAGAAAAAAAGCACTGAAACTGAAGTTCTCCTTGGCTGGGGGTGGGGGTGGGGGGTGAGGGACACATGCCAATCTCGTGTCCAGCAGGCCAATTTGGGGGACAAGACACAAAGCCTGGAATCTGGGTGCGAGGCAGGAGGCAGGGCAGGTGAACACATCAGGAGCCCGGAACACAAGGCCCCGAGGAGGCGAGTGAGGGCTGCGGGCTGGAACGAGCCTAGGGCAAAGGGCTACAGGGCGGCCCAGGGCCCAGCAGAGGCTGGGGGGCCTGGCAGGGTAGACGCATGGCTGGATGTGTCTCCCAGCTTCACCCGACGCTGGGCTGCAGAAATGCAGTAGGAAGAACTGAGTTTGACTGAGGCTGTGGTTCTGCTGGGCAGGCGGGGTGCAGGGTGTGGAGTTAAGGAGGGCCGAAAGCCGCTCTGGGAAACAGGCAGGACAAGCAAACGAGGGACCAAGAAGTGGCTGAGATGGGGCAGAAACCGGGCTGGTGGCCTGAGGGGCTGGAAGGAGAGGCTGTAGTCAAAGAGGAGCCAGTGGATCTGAACTTCTGAGCCACATAAGATGCAGGGGAGCCCCCCACCCCCAGGAGGGGAGGAGGCAGTGTCTTCCTCCCGCTGCTGATCCAGGCGCCTGGATTTTCGTGGCCTCCTACCCCCCTGCCCCACCCCAGCTTCCACCTCAGGGGGCACGGGGGCCGTGAAGGGCTCTGGGGACCCCCATTCACAGCTCCCCTCCGGCCCCACCTGGATTCTGAAGCGCTCCGCTCGAGAAGGTGCCACAGGGTCATGAAGACTGTCGTGCCGCCTCCTGCCCGTGTCCCCAGGAGGCAGCAGCAGGTCAGCGGAGCGGCTGGTGCAGGAGTCGTTCTGGCTCAGCGGGGACGATGTCTGGGAGAGCAAGTCTTGGCACTGTGGTGGGGGGAAATCCAGTAACACTTGGAACCCAGAAGGCCAGTCCCTGGATTGTGGGTGTCAGCTAGTCCTGGGGCGGGTTAGGGCAGGTGGGTCAGTGAGAATGGACATGAAGCTAAGGGCCAACACCAAGCAGGCACCGAATGGATGGCACGCTGGCCCACGCCCCCGCGGGTACCCCGGCCCGGGAGCCCAGCCCAGGTACCATCAAAGCAACCAAACTCTCCCCGGAGCCAGGAAGCCCCGGTGACCCAATCCTGCGGGCACCCAGCCACCACGGGCAGCCCCACGTCACTAGCACGCTCCTCGGCCTGGAGCCGTGGGGGGAAAGGGACGGTTACAGGGCTGGGAAGCTGCTTTCGTACGCATCAAAGGCCAAATCATCTGTTACAATTCACTGCAGCTCCCTGGGGCACAAGACCAAATCCAGAGCCCTTGCTTGAGAAAATATACAGTGCTGCCAGTCGGCACCCTGAGGCCCCGTCTCCGCGGTTTCTATAACTGAGAGGCAGTGGTGCGTTTGCCCCTCAGACCGGGCTGCTGGGTGAAGGCAGGATAGAATGACGCCCTCTGGGTGAGGCTGCCGAAAACGGGCGGAGTGCAGGGGGCCCTGCTCTGAGCCCAGCGCTTGTCAGGGGCTCAGGCTTGCAGGTTCGGAACGGAGCCGGACCTCAGCTCGGCCCGCGTCTAACCTGCAGTCAGGGATTACCCAGCCTGAGCAACAAAGCATCTGTGAGGTTTTCAAGTCGAAGCTTCTTGAACCCACCCCGCTGCAGGGCTTTTACTTCAGAAGACTTGGGGAGGGCACAGGTCCTGCCATGGATCCCCAGCTTTGTCTCGGGTTCACATCAGACTGCGCCCCGTTGCCCCCCGGCTCTGTCACAGTGGCTGGGATTCGGATATTTGTTTTCCTACTTTTTCTGACATTTTACTTTCTACTTATATTTAAACTGGACCCTTTATTATAGGTGCCGTCAGGCTTCTTGGATATAGACAGGAGGCACATAATCAATAAATAACCAGCCCAAACAACTCTTGCTCTGTGCTCCTCACACACCGGGCCCGGGGGCAGAATGGCTCCGACAAGAGGGGACGGATCGTTCCCGCCTCTACTACGGAGGTCATGCTGTTTCCAAAGAATGCCTCAAGAATTCTCTTTGATTCCTAGCAATATGAAGAGCACACCTATCCCTTTCCATCCCTCCCCAACTCACTCTCAGCTGGGAAAACCGTGGGGGCTTCTGAGGCGGCTCCTCGTAGGGCCTGTCTGCGAGGGAGGCAATGATGCGCTTGCGATGGCCGAGGAGATGGACCTTCAGGACCTGGACGGGGGCGGGGGGGGGGGCAGTCAGGCCGTGCCAGTGCCCACAGCTCCCCTCCCACCCCCGGACCACACCCTTGGGGGCCAGGCCAGGCCTGAGCACAGGCTGCACTCACGTTGACAAGCTCCAGTTCCCAGAGGTTCTTCACAGTGTCAATAGAGCTGTAGCCACTGGACAGGAAGGAATGCACGTAGTCCTGCAGCCCCAGGGAGTCCAGCCAGGAGGGCACTGATGGGGGGCTGTTGCCGTCATAGCCCAGAGCTTTCACCTGTGGGGCGAGAAGGGGCAGGACTGACATCTCAGCACTCCTGGGACTAAAGCCCAGGAGACCAGCGTCCCCTCCCTTCACCCAGCCCTTTCTATCGCTGCTCTGGTCTCGGCAACCCCATCTGCGAGATGGAAAGCACTCCAGGCCTGGGGAAGACAGCCCTAGTGGGTATGGCTACAGGGGAGGAAGGGTTTACAGAGGGGCTCCCACTGAGCTCTGACAAGGTCACGGACTTGGTGGGACAGCATGGTGTGTTCCTGTGAAGTGGGCATTGGCCTCACTGTTGGGACTTGGTCATGCTCCCCCAGCTCGGGGGTGAGTGGAACAAACAAGTGTACCCTGGACTTATTAGCACCAGCAGAGTCAAGGGGAGAGGCTGGGGCTACTAGCCCCTGGCTCCCCAGGGAAAAACTGCCTCCTTTGCCCACACCCCTCTGCCTTCCTGGGGAAGTCGGTGCAGGCTGGCCTGGTCTCCAGTGAGTCAGGAAAGACCCCAAAGAGGCTCCGGGTGACAGGTCAAGCCTGTGAGTACCAGCTCCTGTGCTAGGAGAGGCCTGGAGCCTCCCTCTGGAGGCTAGACTGGGTCCTCAACTGTCCCTAGTCTCTGCTGACTCTCTGGGGCCTCGGGACTTGGCAAGAAAGTAAACAGGCCTCTGTGTTGCCTGCTGGGTCCCCCAGGATGTGGGGCAGACACCTTGCAGTGATCTACATGCCCTGTTTGGAGCCAAGCTCCTTCCCTATTCCGGGTCCAGGTGGGGTCGGGAGACGGCCCTGGCCTCGGCCGAGGCTGCGGAGCCATCAGTGGTCACCTTGGGCAGGGACCGCGCCGCCTGCAGCAGCTTCCGCCGGTGCTGTGGGTCACTGATGCCGATCTCTCGCAGGTCTTGCTCTTCCATCACGTTAGACCCCTGACAGCAGAAGAGATTGACGTGAGCACCCTCCCAAACTGGTGGCAGCCTCTCGTGGCCCCTCACCAAATTCTTCTCCTTTACTTAGAGGCACTGAGGGGGACAGAGTTCCCGGGCTCCTCGTGGAGGGCGGGCCAGCCACCGAGAGGTCTCGTGCAGGCAGGAGGCTGAGGTGAGCCGCAGATGAGTCGGCCCAGACAGCCCACTCCCGCCTGAGCGGCTCCCGGGCGAGCTGGGCCGTGCTGGGGCTCTGGAACGTGCAGAGGGCAGTGCTGTGGACGAGAGGTGACAGGGCCCAGGGCGCACAGTGTGCCCAGCCCCGGCCACAGCCCCGGCCCAGCTCTGAGTGCATGTACCTCTCTGGAGGGCAGGTTCCACAACCTCGGAGATGAAGCCCAGGGGGGCTCTCCCAAGCCTCCTCACAGACCTGCTTTCCTAACTCGAAGGCTGAAGCAGCCACGTCAGGTGAGCAGCCAAGGAACCAGACTCACCCCAAGGAGGAGAGGAGTCTCAAAGCAAAAACCTTAGAAACAGGCTTCTGGGCAGCCCGGGAGCTGGGGAGCACCAGAGCTGGGCCACTGAACGTGATGGGGAGGAGGGGGGCTGGCACCTCCTGCACACCTGCCTGCTACTGACAGGGCCCCGAGGCTTTGACTCGGACCACCCCATTTCACGCTCCCGACCCTGGTGGGCTGTCTTTCTTCACCCTCGTTTTAGGGATGAGGAAAATGAGGCACACAGGTCAAAATCATGCCGAGGCCACGTGTCTGGTGGTGGCGCTCAGATCTGGCTGCTCCCTGCCCGCCATCCTCTATGAGGATGTTTTATTCCTCATAGGAGTGTTGCCCGGTAGGTTTTATCAGATTATGATCCATGAAAACTCACAGGTTCTGCCCCGCTTTCAGCCACAGCGTGCCCCCAGAGGCAACTTATTGCTTTCCTGGATATCCCTCCGGAGCCAGCTTCCTTTCCCCACAAACGGAATTCTTGTACATGTTGTTCGACACCTTATTCTTATGACTTAATACACAGGCATACCTTGGAGATATTCTGAGTTCGGCTGCAGACCACAGCAATAAAGGGAATATTGCAATAAAATGAGTCAAATGAATTTTGTGCTTTCTTAGGGCATATCAAAGTTATGCTTACACAATACTGCGGTCTATTAAGTGTGCAATAGCATTATGTCTAAGAAAAAACAACATACATACCTTAATTACAAAATAGTGCTAAAAAATGCTAACCACCATCTGAGCTTTCAGTGAGTTATAATCACTGATCACCATAAAAATATAATAATGAGGGGCACCTGGGTGACTCAGTTGGTTAAGTGTCTGCTTTCAGCTCAAGTCATAATCCCGGGGTCCTGGGATCAAGCCCTGCATCAGGCTCGCTCACTCTTTCAAATAAATGAAGTCTTAAAAAATATATATAATAATGAAAAAATTTGGAATATTGCAAGAATCACCAAAATGTGACACAGAGACGTTAAATGAGTAATGGTGCTGGGAAAATGGCGCTGACACACCTGATCAACGCAGGGTTACCACAGACCTTCAATTTGCAAAAAATGCAGTATCTTCAAAGTACAATAAAGCGAAGTGCAATAACACGAGGTATGCCTGTATCTGGGAGATTGCTCCATATCAGTATAGGTAGACCCGCCTCTTTTTGTCAAAGCTGCATGATCATCCAGGTTAGGGACATATTACAAATTATTCAATCAGTTCCCCACTGAAGGAGGACTATTTCCCATTTCAACTTTACAAACAGTCCCACACGAATACCCTCATATGTGCTTCATCTCTAGGATGGTTATCAAGGGAGATTGCTTCGTCAAAGGGTATGTGCATTCAGGAGTCTAACACATATTTATACTCCCGTCAGTGACAGGAGTGCTAGGTTCCTCGTACTGTCAGCAACATGGCTTATCACCACACAGTTCTTATCGTAAGAGCATCCCACTCATTGGGGCACTCCCGCATCTTTTCAGGTTTTATCAATCAAGTATGTACATAGCAATTACCACCCCATTCCACGTTCCACATGCTTGACACTTGCTAACCCACTTAATAAAAGGGACTATTGTTACCCCCACTTCACAGCTCAGGAAGCTGAGGCCCAGAGCGTGTGAATAACTTACGGGGGTCACATATGTAAGCACGGGGCCAGGATTTGGCCCAGAGCTCCTGTCCGTACGCTCTAGGACCACACGCGTGGGGAGCCTCCGTAGCTCCTTTTCCAGGAATGACCCCCTTACAGCCTTTGTGTGTTTACCTATGGAGGCGCTCATCTTTTCTATATTTGATATGGAGAAATTCTTTATAAAGTAAGGAAATTAACACCTTTTATATATCTGTAAATAGAGTTAGACAATTGGTTTTTCAGTTCATCATTTCTCTTTTGACTTTCACGTTGGCCTTGTTCGTGCAGAAATGTATTGGTCTGTACCTTGTAGAGCTTCCCTCAGTTCTGTCAGGCTTAGAAAGACCTCCCCTCTCCCAAGATTTAAAAAAAAACAATTCTTGCATATTCTTTGCTATAATTTTAGTTTCATTTTTTACAATTAAATCTTGAATCTAGCTGAATTTTTTTTTTTTTAATGTAAGCTTTAAGGGTTAGGATCGAGTTAATTTTTTTCTAGGTGGCAAGTTGTCCATTTCTTGAATGAGCTGTCTTTTCCCTACCACTGAGATGACCCCAGATGTGTCCTAAATTCCTGTTTCTGGGACTCTTTCTGGACTTTCTATTCTACTGAGGTGTGATTACTTACATCCACTTTACAGATGAAGAAGCTGAGTAACTCATGCCAGCTCATGCAGACCATCACCTGGCGGCCTCACCTCTGCACCCGAGCCACAGTGAATGTGCGTGTATAGCCTCCCCAGAGCCTGTGTGTGGTGACAAAACCTTTGCCCCACAGAGGACACCTTCCAAGCCTTAAGCTCGAGGGAGCCCAGGCAGAGAGAGCTCTGAAGCCAGGCTGGAAGCTCTCTCTGCTCAGGCTGCAGAAGGCCCCCTGTGTCAAGGGTACCACTCCACGTGTAAGGCCAGCTCCTAAGCTACCCCAAACCCAGAGTCACCACCTGGAATTCCTGTAGTCCCCCTGGGCCCAAATCTAGGGTATGCTGATGGGAAAGGCAGAGAGGCACGGCCACCTGCGCAGACTCTGTGCCCAATGATGAGGACACTAGTGAGGACCTGCACTCAACTGAACAGTGCACCTCAGCATGTTTCTGAAGTCCTGCTGTAGCCCCAACATTTACTTCCAACCCTTCACAAGCTTTTCGGGCAACATTAAGGCTGAACTGAGGGCTGACAAGCAGGAAGCCCAGATCTAGCTGGAGACAGGGCCTTCATCACCCGGTCAGGAGGACCGTATGTGGCTATGAGGAGACAGAGGCAGAGGGAAACAAAATAAAAACAAAGGATGGGATGGAAAATCCAAGTGGGCAGTGGCGAGAGCATGTGCTGGGTGCAGGCAGGGTCCCCTGACTTCCTGCATGTGCCACATCATCCTCTCGGATTAGTTTGTGTGGGAGCTATAAGGTGCTCCAAATCCTCAAAGGTGAGAAACATTCTGGAAGTTTCTACACCCTCTTTACTAAAGGGAGAAAGGGACCACTGCCTTTTGGAACCATCTTCACAAGGAGGGCGACGGGGGAAGAGAGACTTTCTACTTTACTTCTACCACACTGGTGTTTATACCAAGGGCTACTACTGCCCCAGGCCCTGTGCTGAGTTCCTAATTAGGGAGCTAAGAAAGTAGAACAGCTCATTGGCCTAAGCGTTTCAGTGAACAGAACTTTTCTCAGGTTTAAAAAAAAGTTTCTAAGTCTAAGAGAAATCTGAAACACGTAAGCAGTCGACACTCAGCCTGGGTGGGTTCAGTTCCTGAGGAATGGAGGATAGGAGGCCTCCCTGTTCTAGGCTCTGCTTCAGCCCTCCGCTGTCCTGTCACTCCGTGCTTTGTCAGGGAGGTGACATGCAAAGGTGCCAGTGACATGGCTCCTGACCACGTCCCGGCACTGTGCAGGGACTGTGCATTCATCCCCGGTTCAGTGAAGGACTAACCTGCCTGAGGTCACATAGCCCTGTCCCTGCCATATTCAGTTCACAGAGCTGCCTCTTCCCCAGCCCAGAGAACCAAAGCAGAAAGGGTACAGTCATTTGAACTTCACCCTATAGTCCTGACTTGTTTCCAGTCACACAGGGCTCAGCAGTCCTTCGGCAAAAGGTCTGAGCTTGGGGAGGTGCGAGCCAAGCTATGGTCAGGTAAACCGGAGCAGGGTTTGGGAAGTTGACTCCAGACCTGAGGATCAACAATCTATAGCAGCCCAAGCCCCTGCCCATCATGAAGGCGTGGCATGGCGCTCTGCCCACCTCCAGGGCATGGGGAAGCACTCGGGGCAAGAAAAGGGGTCGGCCCCCAGCAAGCCCCGCCAGGTTGGAGGCCTGGGCTCTAGTCTGGGACCATCACCGAGATGCAAGGCCAAGGGATGTTTTAGCCCCTCCTCAAAGAAGACAAGCCCCTCAGCGTGGAGGTGCTGGGCAGAGCCAAGGCACCAGCTCTGGGTACTCCTTTGCTAGGGCCCCGATTCCATGGCAGACTGTGAGGTCAGTCGGCCTCTCCTGGGTCTGGCCGATCCTGCTCCTCCTGCTGCTGGGAATCCAGGACCTAGCAGTTCAGGTAATGTGTCAAGCCCCTTAAGGGCAAACACTGCAAACTGACCACCCGGCTCAAACTCAGCCCTTATGGAAGCAATCCAGAGCAGGGTAAGGCCCATAGGTGGCCTGGGGGGAAGCCCAGACTGCTGTGGCCACGGTGAGCCACAGAGCCCTGCTCCTCCTACTCACTCTCTGCCCCCTCTCCCAAAGTCCTTCCTGCTCTCCCTGGGCGGGCCCCTTGCGCCCCAGACTGCCCGGGGCTGCTTGCCCCCTCTCTCTGCTAGCCTACCTGCGAGGATCCATGGGTAGTTAGCACAACCCCAGCCTCAGAA